AATGGCCGGCCAAAGTTTTACATAGAAATATATAGGAAAATTCTTTAAAAATCATCTTCTCAAAAATAACAAAGCCATAATTGATCATATTTATATGGAAGCATCCTCAGGTAGTGTAGATTCAAGTTTGTTCAAATCATGACCCCCGGGGGTAGAGTGAGGCCACAATGGCCGACCAAAGTTTTACATAGAAATATATAGGAAAATCTTTAAAAATCATTTTCTCAAGAATAGCAAAACCATAACTGGTCAAAGGTTTACTTTTGAATTTAAACTTTTCAATAATAAACCAATTTCTACTTTTTTCCTAGCCACAGTGCTCAGGTGAGCGATGTGGCCCATGGGCCTCTTGTTTTGTTTTACTGGCAGCTAGTACATTAAAATGTCCTAATCAATTTATTTTTCTAAACAATGAATTTTATGGTTTAAAATACATTTAAAAATTGTAAATAAGATTTATTCCTGATGAAAAATGACCAGAGTTATGAATTCAAAGTTATAGAATTGAATTGAGATTAGAGCATTTTAAAAATTGATAGTGTATTAATCTTACCAGATAGGGTTTTAATATACATGTATTGATCAATATTCAGATAGATGGAGCAGATACATGTACAACATAATGCCAGCTTGTGTAAGTCATGCAATTCCATTAGCCCTGGCCAGTAAATTAAAGCAGACCTCATGTTAATGACAGATAATTAATTTGACGATTGTCTGACCAATGGATAATTGATGACATTTTTTAAACATTTTCAAAGTGCATTAAGTGTAGAATAGATATTTGCACAATTAATATAGGAATTAGTGTATATAAATGATAAATGATTTTATTCCAACATTTTCTCTGTAAGGATGTATAATTGTGTGAGTACTATATACAGCTCACAGTCTTCAAAATATCTGTCTACAAGAGCAGGTGGTGTTGGTAGATAATTAAATCTTTATTGGCTGCTTGACTGTGTACTGTGTTATAATGTACAGAGGAATTCTGGAGGTTACGGAATCGATCCAAGTCATGGCATCCTTGTAATGTGATAATCACGTGATAAATTACTATCTGACCAGGGAGAGAGAGAGAGGAAAGAAGTTGTTTTTAATTCTGTATATTAGGTACATATCAAAGGGAAAAAAATGACTATCGCATGTGCTAAAAAATTAAAAGTTGAATTATGTGAATTATGTACATGTAGTAATCCATAAACTGAATCACATTTCTCTTAACTAGAAACAAATTTTTTGTAAAACAACAATGCGGAACTTGTGATATGCTTATGGTAAATTATTTGGTAAATATTTGAGGTACTTGAACATTCATTGAATTAAAATGAAAGTGGTTCAGGTTAACACAGTGTATGCTTGTAATGCATACATTCATTTATATAAAATTAACAACTTTTTATGCGTCTATTAAAAATGTATGGAGTAATGTCATTTGTTCTTATAGATATGGAATTTGTGTGTGTTTTAGTGCACATGTATTCAGTACTTAATGAAGTGGGATGTTATAATTTTTATGATCTTAGTTATTTATTTTTATTTTGACAGGAAGTAGTCCCCATGACAGTCCCAGGAATATGTCGCCTAGTCAACACGGCAACTTCCTGTTCCAGAATGTCAGGAAGTATGAAAAATATTCTATAGAGTATGTCACAGATCTCATTCCCCCAAAACTCGTCAACTGTATAAAAATATTGAATCTCTGAGAGAATTACAACATTTAATAAATCAAATATTTATAGTGTCAATTATAGCTGCAGCTTAAATTATTGTTTCTTCAACAAATTTCATTCAAAGATCCCATTTTATGCTTAATTCCTTATTCTATGCAAGTACTTTAAAACTTGAATTGGCTCTTGAGATGCGTAATTGTGAGATTTGGAGTATGTGATTGGAGTGTTTATCTAGACTTCTTTAACATAATGTAATATAATTCATGCATGGTGCTTCATGGTGCTTCATGATAAAACTACATGATGACCAGTTCGTCATGTATATTTAGGAATCTAACACTACTGAATATTTGCCGTTTATACTCTATCTAAAATTACTCTGATTAGCATCAAGAGTAAGGGAAGGGTGTAGGCGAAGCTTTAGAGAAATTTTCCCCAAGATCATTCTAGTAATAGGAAGAACTACAGACATACATATATTATCCTTTTCTCCACAGGTGCGATGGAAGACGGTGGTCCTTTGCTTCCCTGCCTTCCTCGGGTTACGGAACAAATACTCCAGGCAGCTCTAATGTTTCGGTAATCCCAAAAGCTCCATATCACACACACTTAATCTATTTCTCTTTGTAGTTTAAGTTTTCAAAATAGAAAAAAATAGATTTATTATATGGAGATGAAAAATATTTGTCAAGAAAAGAATGTAACACCTTTCTTTACACAGAAAAAGAAAATTTTCTTATCTCAAGCCACTCAAAATTGTAAAAAAAAAATGTAATACCTATGGTCAATATTAGACACCTCATCAATTCTATATTGTATTTTTTGGTATAGTCTCAATACTCATCACAAGAACGTCTTCACCAGTACCAGCCACCCCAGGAGGAGTACACCCTCAGTGGGAATGAGGGGGACGAGGAGGGCAGGAAATCCCCCCTGTCCCCCCTCCTACGACCCAGGTCCCGAAGTCTCAGGTGAGGGTTTTTGATTGGTAGATCTCACCTCACCCAAAACTCTACTTCTTGTTGCTGTTTTGTTGTTGTTACAATAATAATTGCTTGCAGAACATTATTTAATATTAAGTTTTTGGCCGGGTTGCAAAGAAAAATCCAATTTATAGGTAGATGGTGACTTTCCCTCTATCCTCACCAATAAATTTGATTAGATGTTTAGTTTATTGCTTTTTGGAGACTTGGTGGTAATGGATTATTTAAACTTAATTGATTGGGTGGTTATCGTAATTCTTGGTTAGATGTTTGATGACCCTGACCTGATGACCCCATCCTGATGATTCTGACCTTTAATGACCCTGACCTTTGATGACCCTGTCCTGATGATCCCATCTTTATGACCTTGAACCTTTAATGAACAAGTGAATAAAAATACTAAGTTTCATCTCTTAATTTTCCTCCCATTTAGTTATCACAATCTTAATGCAATCCGGCCATGCTATCTTCATCAATTTCTTGATTTGAAAACGTAATATTGAGAACTTGTTGCTATTAGGAATTGAGGAAATTTTTTTAACTATTCAAAAAGGTTGAGTTTAAATTTTTTTTAATTTAAGTTGGTTGAGTTTGAATTTAAGTTTATGGTCAATAGTGAAAGTAATATTGATCAGCTTAAAGCTATAGTTTGTGTGTGAAACTGTAGGTTCTCCTCATTTTTTCTCTCTCAGCTTTGATATATGTACAGATATATTATAAGGGCTTCTGTTTTAATAATGTACAATCAGAATTATTAGAAGGAGAAAATATAAACAAGATAAAGTCATAGAATTTAGATCACATTATTTATTCCAGAGTTCAGTCTTATTTTAGTATATGACTAATTTTAATTTCCTGCTTTAACGGATAGCTTATCCTGGCTTGCACTTGAGTAAGAGTTTCTACAACAACCTTTTTTTGATTTGTGTATTGTTTATAAGAAATATGTCTGTAGTTTGCTGTACACTTGGTACATCCTGTTAATGCTATTTGTGTAAACACCATGCAGTGCTATTTGTTAGTTTGTTATAACTCGCTTCAGTATTCATAGATCTTTTGCTTCATGAAAATGACATTTCCTTTTATTTGAAGTCATATTTTAGCATTGCTAAACTTTTTTTTTTTTTTTTTTATATACACATCTTGCCCAATTTTTGCATGCGTCATATGCAAGAAATTCTATAAATCATATAAAACTAAAAATCAACAGCAAACTCATTATAACAAATTGAAGAACAACAAATAAAAGTAGAAAAAAAATTTATTAATTATGTATATATACAGTGTATAAATATTTTTTGTAATTTTTTTTCAAAATTAAATTTTCTTTTTTTTTTATTTAATATTCAAAAGTAGATTAATAGTACATTATCAGGGCTAGAGTGAATCAGCTCAAGAAATGATTTCATTTTATCAAAAAAGATTATTCAGTATGTTTGATATAATGCTTTTATGCATTATGGAGACGTGAATCTTTTTATAAATTTATGTACTATGTACAAGTAACTAAAATTGTGAAAACTGGCCATATTTTATCCAGTATTGAACATATTAACTCCATATGATAGTGAACAGAATTTATAACCCTTGCATGAGAAAAAAGATCTGTAATAGCTCTTTAAGAAAAATATAAGCTATGTATTAAAAACATGTATATGATGTATGTTCACAAATATTGTGTATTTTTTCTTCCAAATTATATGACTATAATCTGTATATCTGTCTTTTAAACAGTTTAAACTATATCCAAGAGTTCAGAATAATTTTAACACATGTAAATAATTTCTACACATGATACATTTAAAAAATAAATGTAGTAGCTTCTGCTTTTTATGTTTTAATTTTTTTTAAAAATTCAATATTAAATGAAATTCTAAATGTATTTAAGGATAAAATTTTGTTTTGTTAATTGAAGCAATATTTGATTTGTTTATTTGTAAAGAAGCACTATTTATATTTAGAGGACATTATATATTGATATTAGTCCTTTTTTCCAATAACTCAATGTATTTTCTGTTTATGTAGTAGTCCAATGGTTTCTCCTGGCGGGGACGAGATTGTCATGATGAACAGTGTTTATAAGGAACGATTTCCCAAGGTATGCACCAGTTACCTCCCTTTTACAGATAATTGTGCTTAAAGCTGAATACGATTCATAAAAGGAATGTGTCCACCATTTTTGTTCGGAGAATCGCTATACCTGCAGACCCCTATAGCAGGACTATCTCACTGCTCAGTGTAATCAGTCGACACCGGTGTACACGAACATATGCTATACAGCATGCGGTAGTGAAAATAAAACATAATGCTTCGTCTGATGCAGGAAAGTAAGATACCAAAGAAACTTACAATTATAGTTGTACAGGTCAGTGCAGTATACAAACAAACACAGATACACGTAACTGTGATAAAATGTAAATTAAGGTAATACAAGATAACCAGCATGAACAAGGGTCACCATTCCACGCCGATACCCGTGATATTTAAGTAGTCAGGTGTGACGAATCTGATTAGTATACCCTGGTGCTGATGTATCATAGATAATGATATCTAAAATGGTGTATGCCTATTTACGAGTCGTGTTCAGCTTTAATAAAGAGGAAAGGAAATAGTTATACCTTCCTTTACAAAAACTTTATTAACAATGTATTTTCTGTCATCAAACAAATGTCATTATTCAAAAAAAGGCTAAAGTAACCAGGCACATGTTTCTTTCCTTTTTATCCCATCTTTCCTACATAAACAGCAAATAAATTCATTGAAAATAATTTCTTTGACTGCATGATAACTTTTGTGATTTTGGTAGGCCACATACTGCCCAGAATCTCTATAGTAAATACCCTTCTGATGTTATATGTTTTTATTTTGCATTAGGCCACGGCTCAGATGGAGGAGAAGCTGAAGAAGTTTTTAGAGCAGAACAAGCTGGAGGAGGTGGACTGTGATGCCATTACACGGTTCCTGCACCACCAGGTGATGGAACTTGCTCGCGACTGTCTCCAGAAATCACAGGACAAACAGATCACAGGGACCTACTTCTTCGAGCTCTCAGAGAAACTAGAGAAACTACTCATTGATGTGAGTGCTACCCACTATGGTAGATTTTAGTGATTTTTCAACAAAGATAGGGTACTCTGGCTAAAGCTTGCTTTTGAAGACAGTGATAGTAGTATTGTTTGTTAATTTATGAAGTTTTTTTTATGTTTGAAGGCACAAGAAAGAGAAGATATTGCTTACGAGTTTCTGTACCCAGTCATCAAGAACCTGTATTTGATCATCTCTAGACCCTCAAGATTACTGGAGTGTTTGGTAAGTAATACAGATAACACAGAAATATGAGCAAGTAACACATCTTGTTCAAGAACTGAATTATTAATGAAACAAAAGAATTTTTAATAAATCAAGCATCCTAATTTGTTGTTAAAAGTCTGTTAAGTGAACTAGAATTTTCCTTAATGGACTCTGCTGTATTTGTAGGAGTTTGATCCGGAGAAGTTTTATCAGCTTCTGGAGGTGGCAGAGGGACAGGCCAAAGAACACATGAAACGTGACATTCCGCAATATATCATCAGTAAACTAGGCCTCAACAGGGACCCACTGGAAGGTCCGACACACAGAATTTTGTCTATCATAAAACTCTTGTTCACTTTTTAGCTCACCTGAGCCGAAGGCTCAAGTGAGCTTTTCTGATCAAAATTTGTCTGTCGTCTGTCGTTGTTGTCGTTGTCGTCGTTGTCGTCGTTGTTGTAAACTTTTCACATTTTCATCTTCTTCTTAAGAACCTCTGGGTCAATTTCAACCAAACTTGCTACAAAGTATGCTTGGCTATTGGGTATTCAAATTTGTTCAAATGAAGGGCCACGCTCTCTTCCAAGGGGAGATAATTACGAATTAGTGAAAAATTAACGGCATTTTTAAAAAAGGTTCTTCTCAAGAACCACTGGGCCAAGAAAGTTGAAACTCATATGGAAGCAGGTAGTGTAGATTCAAGTTTGTTCAAATCATGACCCCTGGGGATAGGGTGGGGCCACAATGGCTGATCAATGTTTTACATAGGAATATATGGAAAATTTTAATGTAGATTCAAGTTTGTTCAAATCATGACCCTCCGGGGTATGGTGGGGCCACAATGGCTGATAAAAGTTTTACATAGGAGTATATAAGGAAAATCTTTATCAATCTTCTTCTCAAGAACCACTGGTCCAGGAAAGATGAACTCATGTGGAAGCATTGTCAGGTAGTGTAGATTCAAGTTTGTTCAAATCATGACCCCCGGAGTAGGGTGGGGCCACAATGGCTGATCAAAGTTTTACATAGGAATATATAGGGAAAATCTTTATAAAAATCGTCTTCTCAAGTACTTCAAAGCAATGATTAGTGATAGTATAGGAAGAAAATGTTTTTAAAAAATCTTTTTATCAAGAACAGCAAAGTCATATGCTGTATTAATATGAAGGCATTCTAAAGTAGTATTAAATTCAAGCCCCCCAGCCCCCCTCCCCCCCCCCCCCTTTCAGTAAACTTTTCAGTTCTGATCTGTGTTTTTTTCCTAGACGATTTGCTTAGGTGAGCAATGTGGCCCCTGGGCCTCTTGTTTTTTCTTGATTGCTTTTATTATACCCCCCGCAAACGAAGTTTGGGGGGTATATAGGAATCACCTTGTCCGTCTGTCTGTCTGTCCATCTGTCCGTCTGTCTGTCCGTCCGTTCTCACGAAATAATGGTTAAGTGACAGTTTTTGTGCCCATTTAAAATTTATGTGACTATTTTGTTTTATGTGACTGTCACATAAAAATTTGATTTTTTTTAGCAGAAATGAGTGTTATGTGACTTAAAAAATCATTCTAAAGGAGTGTCACATAAAAAAATACGGACGATATTGTCCGTTATATGGACGTCCGTCAAAGGGTTTTAAGAGTTACCTCCCGTACCCCATGCATCATGTTTCGCGCCATTTTACCCGATCATTTCCGGAAACAACCGAACCTGATTGCCGAAATCTGTCTGCGCAGGCGCTGTGGTGCATATCCGGAAATTTGCGCGGCATGATGATGAGAAAATGGCAGAGTTTCAGTTGGGGTAAGTAATGTGACATTTTTGCGATTTCTTAATTCGTATGACACAGCTGAACATTATTTACGATATTTTTAGTAAAACTTTGAACATCATTAGAATCGAGGGCCTCAATGGGTTCGTAGTACATTTTTAACAATCCATCAAATGTGCAGGGCTCGTTTTTTTGTGGTCATTCGTGCATTAACAACCAGCAAATTCTGGTGATATGAAGTGAATACATGAAATGTTAGTGTTGCACTTTCCGAAATTTATTTTCAATAACGTTATGAAAGCACAAGTTATTAGAGACCTATAGTCAGTGCCACATATATATGGACATGAATTTAAAATTTAAGACGCATTAAAAAAAAGGTCACTTAATATATGTGACAAGAGTCACATACACATGTCAGGATGAGACATGTGACAGGAAGCAAAGTTGTAGTTTTTTTTCAAAATGGAGGAATGGTTCCAAATTCTGATATCTATTGTACTTTTATCTATTTTTGTGGAACTTGCAACAGGAATTGCATTGCTTTTTGTGATGTTCAGGCGTTGGTCATTGCTTTTTAATTTGTGGAATAGAGATCTCCAGTAAACGACATGCAGATGTATGAGGTATACATTGACGGTAATGAATACTTTTGTCAGTTAAGATTTATTATGGCAATTATACTGGAATTGAATCTACACTGCCAACTGCTAACAAAGATAAAAGATGCCTCAACAAGATTTGGTTTTGGAACATTTTCACTAGAAGAGGCAGAAATGATAACAAGTTTACTTATTAGACTGAAAGTTCCGTTTGAATGTGAATAGGTAAGTATAATCGATTGCAATGCCTACATTATGAATATGATGCACTGAAAATCTCATTTTATTAATCACTTGATTTAAACATTATTTTGAACTTACAAGTGTAGTTAAAAAATGAAGAGTTAAGTAGTTGATAGAAGGCATTGAGAGAAACAAGTCACATAGTTAGACCTAAAAAAAATTACGTTTGTTTCCTGTAACCCGACCGACCCATTCAAATTTGCCCCGGGTGGATTTTTTTTTTCCTGCCAAATCTGTGTTTGCTCTTTGGTTTGATCAATCAGCTGATTCCAAAAAATATTAATTGTAGCTTTATTTGAGATATTAAATATGTCAACCTAGTCAATATTTACCTTAAATATAAAGAGTAATCATTATTGTAACAACAATTTCCACCCACAACTTTTTGAAGATCATTTTCTTTCATTAGGCAGACAAGTTGGGTTTCTAATGTAAATATAACACCTGGTTAAGTCCGGGGATGTTTGACCCAATATCCATAAGCAAAAAAAAAAAAATTCCCGACCAATCGGCCCTTGATTTTTATGCCCCTGGATCAAAGGATCCCTGGGGTATATTGTTTTTGTCCTGTCTGTCTGTCTCTCTCTTATCAACTATAACCCAGTCTATGCGAAAGTCACTGGACCGTCGGTTTTTACCGGTAAAATTTAGGTCGGGTCGGTAAAAATTTTCAGTATACAGGACCAAATGTCCGATAAAAAAATTAGGCCAAATAAATCTAAATTAAGAGGTACACATGGTCAAATTCCCCACAAATATCCTTTATTTGACCAATTTAGTAGTAATACCTGATTAATTTTTATGTATTACAACCCTGTCATGATCGTTTTTATTCTAATTTCGAATTTCCTCTGTCAATGATTAGAGATCTTTAGATAGCTCATACGTAGGTTTGGTTGGGAAAATATTTAGATAGCTCATACGTAGATTCGATTGGGAAATTATTTTCAAATGATCATTGAACTTGAGTAACCATAATTAATTGTTCAGGAAAAAATAAATATGCATTGAAAGTGCATATTAAATTTCATAAAATCTTTGATACAGTGTTTGTTGTATAAGTCAAATATAAAGAAAAAATGCATGCAATTGTATAAATAGATACCTTTTACAATGAAAAATTATATAATATTTAACTTGTTCTATTTTACTCTGAATTTATTTAAGGTTAAATATCACAGTGTGAATTAACCCCATCCCACCCACCCTCTCAATATCAGTATCATAATGATGTATGGATTTAAAGGGGGGAAAAAGTCGGTCTGGTAAAAAATGGTTTGGTCTGGTAAAAATTTTATTTTTACCAGACATTTTGTCCTGTAAAAATTTTAAACTTTCGCGTAGACTGATAACCTAGCCCATAACTATTGTGCTGTCAAGAATAAGGCTTTAATATTTGACATGAATGTTCATTATGACAAGACCTTTCCATAGGTACAGAAATTTTTGATCATGTGACCTCAACTGTGACCTTTGACCTACATTTGAAAAACTTTAACATTGGCCATAATTATTGCAATGAAGTCTACATCCCACTCCAGAATTGTGTTACCATTGGGGGATAGTGTTTCACAAACACATCAAGTTTGGGAATGTTACAGGAAACAAACATAAATTTTTTTTAGGCCTTATATGTACATATCCTTAGACATTGTATATTTATGTAGGTTAAGTAGTAGATAGAAAGCATTGACAGGATTAAATCACATAGTAATATGGACAGATGTCACATAAATATCCTTATTAGTATATTTATGGTTAAGTAGTAGATAGAAAGCATTGACAGGATTAAGTCACATAGTTATATGGACAAATGTCACATAAAATATCCTTATACTTGTATATTTATGTAGGGTTAAGTAGTAGATAGAAAACATTGACAGGATTA